AAAAAGGACAAACGGGGAATCCAAGTCATCAGTAGAGTCATAAATAAATAGACGCTCAGCTGGTTTCTATTAAACATCAAGCTGCTGCTGATCAACGATCTTACAGTCTGCGTGAGTCATTAGCCGATCGATACAACAGCGCTCGCTGTATCGATTAGTGTGAGAAGCCGTCGTCTCTCACATCAGCTGCTTGTTTCTCATTGCAGGCGATTGATTGGTCACGCCCGATCACTTCACTTATTGATCTGTGCAGAGAGGTCAAAGGGAGGCCACGAAGAAACTCACAGCAGAAGGTTTTAATATTACAGGGCAGGATAATCCACGTTATTGATCCACGATGAGAGTTTGGGTTCATTTCTGATCACAGTCAGAGAGAATCTCACAAAGATCAACAACAAACGGCAGCTGAAGGCGTTACCGTGGTTTCTCCAGGTCAATAAACCAATCATTAGTTATTAATATCTGGCTGTTCCACGGCGAGGCTTGGTCCCGTCTTCCTCCCCTCACTCTCAACCAGCCACAGCAGATGGTCACCCTCCCTGAGCCTGCTTCCTGTTAAAAGGGAGTTTTTCCTTCCCACTGTCACCAAAGTGCTACAAAGTGCAAAGGGCCACGAAGGACACACCCGACCCATTCGGGGAAATGAAGGCTGCATTTGAAGGAGTCGGCCTTCAAATGCGGCCTCCGAAGTATGCAGCCTACGTTTTGGGACACCGCTACTGACACTGCTTTTACTTCCTGTTGTGGTTACCTAGGTAACATCGAGTACAGCTGCCCGGTGATGAACGAGTGCGAGATCACGAAGCGGAGGAGGAAAGCCTGTCAGGCCTGCCGCTTCCAGAAGTGTCTGCGGGCCGGGATGATGAGGGAGGGTACGTTACGCCAAGCGACCGTTACGAGCTGGCAGGAAGTAGAACTACGTGTGTGTGAAACGCCTCTGCGTGTTGCAGGTGTCCGTCTGGACCGCGTCAGAGGGGGGCGCCAGAAGTACAAGAGGCGGGTGGAGACGGGACTGAGTTTATGCAGCAAAGCCCCGTACAGCCACCTGAGCAGCAGCAGTGAGTTCACCCTCGCTCCCTCTGAAGGCTTTCAGGTCAAATACTCGCCCACGCCCACGCCGTTTAACATCCACTTCCTGTCTTTTAGGGAACAAGGTCATTTCCCACCTGCTGCTCACAGAGCCCGCCCCTTTAGCTGCCAACCAGGACGATTCGACCAATGACAGCAGCTTGCGGATCCTGCTGATCCTGTGTGACCTCCTGAACCGGGAGCTGCTGGTTCTGATTGGCTGGGCAAAACAGAT